AAAAAAAAAAAAAAAAAAAAAAAAAAAGGCTTCCTTACTCATGCAAAAATTTCCATTAAAAGTCCTGCCAGAAGGCAGCTTTTGTAGGACTGCAGTATCCTTCTCCATCCTTCTATAGATTTGAATTCCAGATCTCCTTAACACCGAGCACGACACATGTGCTATTATTCTTCAATTACATCTTCAGGGAGATGTTGAGAGAAAAGTTGTAATAGAAATAATTTTTTTCAGATTTTTCAACAGTGCAGTATTTCATCACATAATTCTCCATTGCTTATTTCATATTTTGTTGACTGCTATCAGGAAGGCAACAAGGAATACTATATTTCCGCAGACATAGATGGTTAACACAACCTGTTTAAATAGATGACCCTGAAAGAAAAGGGGAAAAAAGTCATAGAACTGTCAGGGTTTTTTTTGGCTTAAACAATCATCCCATTTCACAATAGTTATTTACCAAATTGTGACTCACCTCTGCTTCTGCAGATGTGAGTGACTGCAGTATCTGTACTCTGTCATCCTCTATCACTTCAACTGTTCGTGGGAAGAAAAAAGAAGTTAAGTCTGCTCTTAAGAGGAAGGGGGGGTTTATTTTTATACTATAGAAGTCTTGATCCTGTGAGTCTTGCACAGCATCAAGCCTGAAAAACAACTTGGAAGTCTCATTTGACATTTCATGACCTCTACCTATCATATTCACAGCACAAGTGAAAAATTATTCTGGGATTGACCTACAAAAACTGAATTCTGGACACTGAAGTGGAAAAACCATTTTGTCGCTTTTGCTAGACTGAATAATTAAAACACTGGAGTTTGAGCTAATACCCTTTCCTTTTACATGTTAAGATAACTAAAATTCATTAAGAAGTATTTTTCATTAGCCAACATCAGAAAACTCATTGTCCAAACGTTTCAGATTAAATTCTATTTCTAGGAAGTAATTACTGCCATTAAATCACATGTTTTATAATCAGTCCTATTCCACTTGCCACCTTACACAGCCTCTTAATTACACCTCTTCAATCCTGCAGATCTCTCATCTTTGACTTAGATACAGGTCCTTTACACGTGCAGTCATCTCTCTGTGACTCCAGCCAGTGAAGATCATTCCAATGAAAGTACTACTCTCTTCACTAGAGATGTTGGAGTCAGGATTTCCTTCATTCCCCATTCACTCAGAAGTGCAACTATCTAAGCTCAAGTGATCATTCTGCTCATGCAATAACAACCAGCAGCAATTTGTCAACAATACAGGGCAGACTAAATCCATGACTTAGCCTGGACTTAATGTACCTGCTTGGGATCAAAGTTGCCAACAATGACAATTCTTTGAAGATATTTATGCATTTCAGTCTGCCCCTATGAACTGTGGTTTGAGAAACAAAAGGCTACTATTTAAAAAGGCACAAACCAGTTTTCAAGACAAAAGCGTTCTGTAAAAACGGGGATTACTTCCATATTAGTTTGTACAGAAGATATAACACTGTTAACCAAGAGTTGCTTCTTTTCAGCTTCCCAGTTAGAGGCCAAAGAGTACCTCCTGAAATTCAACCCACACTGTTACATTTTTTTATGCTCAGTGATCAAGGTCACAACAAGAGCTGTTCTGGGTTTGTACCTTTACGTATGAGACAGTAGCTGTGTATTTCCAGAAGAACATCAATACCAACATGCCAAGCTACAAAGCCAATCATTGTATAGGTGTCCCATGCGTCTGGCAGGTCAAGTGCTGGTAGATCCATTCCCAAGAACATAGTCACCACTGGTCAGTAAAAACAAGACAAGAAGATGCTAAGAATGCTGTGCCAAGCTACTCAAAGTGCTCTCAATGCTTTTGGCAATAGATTTCCCATGAATTGCTTACAACTGCTAGAGGAATGAGGTTAAAGGAGTTCAGGCAGCTAAAAGATTATTAGTTTGTTGGGGTTTTTTCCTGTTTGGTGTGGAGAGTGGGGTTGGGGGGGCTGTTTTTTCTTGGTAGTTTAAGGGGCAAGACAGGAAGAAAAGGAAAAAGCCAAAAGAGCGCACTAAGTAGGTTGAAAACTAACACATTACAGTCACAAATGCTAGCATTTGTGACTTCCAACAAGACTACAGCACCATACTATTTATGCTTAACCTGCCTGTGGAAACTTGTCTCTATTACTAGAATTAAACCCAGCTTCTGGTTCAATAAGTGACAGTTCCCTCTCCCATTAAATAACATTGAACTATGTTACTGTAAGAACACTATCCTCAAATATTCCAAGATTAAAAGAAATTACTGAAGATCAGAACAGGTCCTCATTACAGAGATATTTCAGGTTTGTCAGTAATTTCTTTAGTTTTAAACAGCCACTTTTTCCTCTCTAAAGTAATAGCTACTTAAAATTCACACAGGAGATGGACAGCAAGAAAGAGAATCTTCACACCTGCCCAGACTGAATGTCCATAGATGTTTAGATCAGTAATAGCCCAGACAATGAAGAAAGTTGCTTTAAGTCATTTAAATAGGCGTTACAACTATTACTTTTACTCACCAGCTAATATTCTAGCTGTTGTACCAGTACTCCAGTGAAACCAGTTAAACAATTGCCTCCTACAATGAAACACATTTTTTTTTATTACATCGCTGGGGGAGGGAAGAGGAAATAAAGTGGTTTTACCTACTTTAAATTGTAAAAGCTTTTCATCATAAAAAGAATTTTTAAGGAAACAGGCAAGTTTAAGCCCTGTGGTTGTAGTTTGATGAGTTAGTCGTACCTTGGTGCGTGACGAGATGGTCTGAAACCTGCCATGAGTGGTTGGAAGATTGTCAAAGCCATCACGGTACAGCCGAGATAGGGATGAAAACCTGCTTGCTAAACAGAAGACTTTTTAAAATATCATACCTATATAAACATGGCAAAAAAATAACAAAATGTTGAAAGCTTTATTTCTTCTTTTGTTAGTAGGTTACAACGGTGGACCAACACTGGGAGAGGCAACAGGACGCAGCAAGCTGCCCTGCAGCCAGATGGAGAATGTTTACCTTGGCAGCATACACACTGCTGTGTCTGCCCAGGGTTTGTCCCACCTTTTTGCTGTATTGCGAAATTCTACAAGCTGAAGAGCAGAGTAATATGATGTCAGAAGCTATGCTCCAAACTCTTCAGCCTTGTTTCTGTGTCTTCAGAAGAGGCCTATTTTTTAACTCCTCCCAGCATGGTCTCCCTTCTCACCCTGTCTATTCTAATACTAATCCTAAAAC